GAGAGAGAGAGAGGGAGAAAAGGAGGAAGAGTAGGGGAAGAAGAAGGAAAAGGAGGAGGAAGAGAGGAGGAGAAGGAGGGGAAGGAAGAGAAGAAGTTATTAGAAAGTGGAAAATGTGTGTGCGTGTCTAGAAGTTCATTCTTGGTATCCGATGTCAGCTACACATCACTTCTTGTCAAGGCCTCTTCTGATGGCCCTTCCACAGACTTGCCCATCAGTGTCCTCACAGGTCACAAACTCCTCACATGTAACACTCATCACATCTTATTATCTTGTTGGTTTTCTGGTCTGTGTCCCAAACAGTTCTGTGCACGGGGCGGACTGGGCAAGCAGTAGGTGCTCAGTGGATGAGTGCAGTTGTGCTAGAGCCCCTTTCCATGCACTGCCCCTCCCAGATCTTGCACATCCATGTCACTGCACACTTTTCCTGGAGATTGAGAGGTGGAAGGAATTGAACTAAAGCAACAGAAAGTGAAAAATAAGCGACTGGCATGGCTCCTGATGCCCCATTGCTGATAAGAGTGCTCCTGGAAAACACACCTGGCCTTCTCTTTTTTTTCTCTGTCCTCACTGTTGGACACAGCTCCCCACACCTGTGCTTCTGTGTGCATACTCTGCCCGAACAAAAAAGTGGAGTAACCACAGGAGAAGCCCTGGTGGAAGGAAGGGAGCCTGGGGTGGGAGAGGGCACAGTGCCACCGTCAGGACACAGGAAGCAGGTTCCCACCTAGCTCTTCCTCAGTTTTGTCCATACTTGGCTTTCTTCTCTTGTCTTCTCTGTCAGGCTTGTGGCGATGTTAACAATGCGCAACAGCATAGTAGGGTCCCACAGCACAGTACACAGTGTCTAGGCTGCCGTGTCCCGGCTCTGTCCAGAGCCCAGGAGCACATGGACCCATTGAACCTTTGTAGCCCCCCAGGGGTGAATACTGTCACTGTTCCTCTTTGTGCACATAAGGAAACAGGTGCATGTTGGTTAAGCGATGTGCAGAAAAGCACGGGGAAGAACTGGGATTTGAACCCGGGCAGTCTGGCTCCAGCGCCATAGCCTTAACTGCTCTGCTGCAATGACACAAGGAAAGCTTCCTCAGGGAAAAAGTCTCTTTTATTGACCCACAGCTGTATTTGAAGTTGGACTGTCAGCATACATGTTATTAATTTATGACGTTGTGAGCTCTAGGAAATGGATTGTGGTTTTTGACATCAGAAGGGAGAAGCGAAGGGGCAAGCATCAGTTTTTCTTAAATTTGAACATGTAGTTAGTTATACAAAGATACGCACTTTCTCTTTGGAGCTAACTGTGTCCTGATTATTTTTAATTTTCTTTTCCAAATATACATAGCTTATTGTATGGCAGGATACTGGTTTCTTTCAGAATGGATGAAAGAGCTACATATTTAAAAACACCAAAAAGAAGTTGGAGTTTTCTATTGAGTATTTAAGAACTTATACCTGTTCAAGGAGCTTATGGAGACTTTTTGACACAGGAACCAAAAACGAGGGTCTTGGGAAGAGAAAGGACTGATGTCCCAGTGACTGACCTTTGGGATTTATTTTCAAGGTGCAGACCAGAGACTGCTTCTGGATGTCCTGTTCCATGCACAGGGTCATCAGCATGAGGTCTGCCTTCCAAGTACAGAGCCCCATTCACAGGCTAAACTGTGGTCTGTGCTGTGTGTCTTGTAGGAAGTGTCACTCCCAGAACTCAGGCTGTGGTGCATGAGGATGAGGTGGAAACCACCCAGCAGTCTGATTCCTTCACCACCAAACCCACTGTTGCAGAATAGTCCCAAAGCCGCTGTCTTTAATGAGTGCCTACTGAGGCAGGAAGCTACAGCCTTGCTTGTATATTTTATATCATTCCCTTAGTGACTGATTTTGTTCCCATTTTACAGATGATCAAAATGAGACTTAGATGGATTAAAATATTTCTCCCGTGTCTACAGTTAATAAATGGCAGACCCAGGATTCCAATTTTAAGCCTCGACTCTTCAGGAATATATAGTTACCCCAGAACTATGGGAACATCTTATGTTTCTATGTTAGCTTCCTGACAGAAAGATAATCTCAGCTCACAGAACTAAATGGGTATAAAAACTCTGCACGTTTCTTGGAGGGAACAGTAGGTGGAGAAATTTTCACAATTCCTTTTGGCATCATTCATTCAGTTTTTGTTTTGTTTTTTAAATAAAATTAACACAAGCATCCTATATAATAAGTAGGTAATATGCAAATTGACCATCATGCCCTCACAAGATCGCTGCCTACGACCAGGCCAGCAGGGGATTAGCGAGAGACGACCAAACAACTGAACAGCAGGCTGTGTAGGGTGACCAGGCTGGCAGTGGGGCAGTTGGGGGCGATTAGCCTGGCAGGGGTGGCAGTAAAGGCTGACCAGGCTGGCAGGGGGGCACAGTTGGGAGCAACCAGGCTGGCAGGGAGGGGGCAGTTGGGGGCAACCTGGCTGGCAGCGGGGGTCAATTAGGGGCAACCAGGCTGGTTGTGGGGGGGGCAGTTAGAGGTGATCAGGCTGGCACTGAAGAGGCAGTGAGGGGCGATCAGGCCAGCAGGGGTGGGGTGAGCAGTTAAGGGTGACCAGGCAGGCAGGCAGGTGAGCTATTAGGAGCCACTGGTCTAGGATCGTGAGAGGGATGTCCGACTGCTGATTTAGGGCCCGATCCCAAGGGGTCCCAGATTGGAGAGGGTGCTCTACACGAACTTCATGTACCAGGCCCCTAGTTTTAATTATAAGGACCAAATCATGATCATTAGGAAATAAGGAAAAGAGAATACCAAGTTTGAAGCAAAAGAAGAAAAACTATATAAAGAGGATGCACAACTTCTTAAAATTTTATTTAAGAAAGAGGGGGTATCATTTGCAGTGGTCATATTTATTTTGTTTTAAGCAGGAGAGGTCAAATTACTGTTCTAGGCACTGAGGATAAAGGAGAATGTGTGCGGTGGTGTGTCCCTGCTCCTAACATGATGGGGAGGACAAGGAGAGTGGCAGCCAGTGACTTTCATTTGCCACCATGGAGGAGGGAGCAGGCACGGATGCCTCTCAGTGCTGCAAAGAGGGGAACGAGACCCCTCCCAGGACTGAGCAGGTCATTGGCTCTGTTTAGAAGTTGCCCTTTGTTTTTGCTGTAGAAATCTGATTGCATTTCCCTGGAATTTTTGGAACCCTGTAGAATTTTTACAAAATCCCTGCAGTGATTAAAATAGAACAGAGAGTTGCCTTTTAAAAATAATAATAATAATAATAATAATTAGTTTGGTCATTAAATATAACTTCTTTATATTATGGGTGTTTCTCCAGAAGTTTAATGATTTGCCTAAGATTAGTGTGTATGCTGACTTTGTTTTTCCAAACAGAAATTGCTAGTAGTGCCAAAGCTGTCTAAAAGTAAAAATAATGAGGCTGCATCTTACCTCTCTCTTCTCATCACTGGTTCTTCGTTTTATTTGTAACTCAGATGAACCCATCCCAGAACCATGGGAGATCAGCTGAGTAGTTGCTGGCTGATTTGCATCTCATTGGCTATTAACTAACCAGAGGAAGAAATTTTGTGTAAAAACTGGATCAATCAAATATAATATTATATTAATTATTTCCCTTAAGAAAACTTATAACTGAAAATATTATCTTAAAGCAACTGAGCTGAGACTTGTAGTCATAGTGAATGTCTGTAGGGAAACTTCAGTTTTAACAACTTCTTAAACAGTTTAACTTAAAACAGTTTAATAAAGCACAATGGCAACATAATCCTTAAATTTGTGACATTTACTCCAAATTTTGGAAGTGAGTTTTAAATAATTTTCTTTTGGGGGGAATGGTCAAGTGATGGTATGAACTATTCTTCTCTATTAGCTTTAGATGTTCCCTATCTTGTTTTTTACTGATGTCACAAATTTAAATTTTCGTTTTATTTAATTTAGGTGAGACTCTTCCATTAAGATGATTATAAGTCACGTTAAAGTGGGTTTAGAATTTATATTTTACTTGACTTGAATAATCTTATTAAATTCTGTAATTAAAAAAACTGATATAAGGTTGTAGGATCTGGTTCTGAAGTTGATTTCAAACCAACCCTCCCACATAGTATGATGATAACCCCAAGACACAGTGTTAACAATAATGAGGTGAATGCACTGGAGAGCAACTCCTAAATATAGATAGAAGTGGAAGGACCATGTGAAGGCAAGGCAGAGCAGAAGGAGGATTATATTTATTTGGCTTTTTGCTAGGAAGGTACTCTCCAAATGCCTCCATATGGAACTTTTCAAACCCAAGCTGCAAGCCGTGGTGTTACTGGCTTACTGTGTCAGAAGCAAGACTTTGGGGCTGTCAGAACAGCTGGGCATTAAAAGGGGGATCTGGGTAAGAGTGAGCCACGATGCAGGGAGCCCCATATCTGTGTATAAATTCCATTCAGATTATTAGGGAACCCTGGAACTGTGTGTACCTCCAGGAGACCAATAGACAAAACTGTGGAGGCAGTTCCTGGGACCATTGACACCATTTGAGCATGGACTTTAGATTAGATAATAGTACTATATGTAGTACTATATTTGTTCAGTCTCTTGATTTTGAGAATTTTAAAGAGAATGTCTTTGTCCTTAGGAAGTACATTAAAATATTTAGGTATGTCCTGACCGGTTTGGCTCAATGGATAGAGCGTTGGCCTGTGGACTCAAGAGTCCCAGGTTTGATCCTGGTCACGGGCATATATCTTGATTGCGGGCACATCCCCAGTAGGGGGTGTGCAGGAGGCAGCTGATTGATGTTTCTAACTCTCCCTCTCCCTTCCTCTCTGTAAAAAAAAATCAATAAAATATATTTTAAAAATAGGTATGGGGAGAATGGTATCTAATTTATTTTCAACATAATTAGCAAAAACAACACATAGAAAGTGATGAGGTAAATGTAAACTATTGTGAATGTGGGTAAAACTTTAGGGGAGTTCTCTGTACTGTCCTTGCATATTTTTTGTAATTTTTTTTTTCTGTTCTGCCATTTCATATAGGAGGAGGGCACAAATAAATTCTCCCTCTTCAGATCTTGGCAATTTTAATCTATCCCAAAAGCATATGTAAATTTTTAATTATATCCAAAAAAATTTATAAGTGGGGTCATATGAAACTGAAAATGTTTGATGTGTGAAGAATTCAAGTATTCTCTCCTCCTCATAGATGAGCTCTTTAGTTTTAGGTCATGAATCCAAGTAATCCATTCATCAGTTTTTAGTCTGAGAGTTTAAGAAAGAGTGATTTGAAACTCAGTTTTTTGCCTCCAAGTACTTGGAGTCTGGTTGAGGAGAAAAGAGTGGTGCACACACAAGCTGAACAAAGTATAGCAGAACATGTTCATTGTGTTTGGTACTTGATGTGCTCCATTCGGGGCTGGCGAATGGTTTCGGTAAAGGGCCAGATAACAGGTATTTTCAGCTTTCTGGGCCATCATGTCTCCTATCACATACAGTGGGGAAGCAGACAGTGTGTGTATGTACAGGAAGGGTGTGCTTGTTCCAATAAAACATTATTTACACAAAGAGGAGGCAGGCTGCATGTCCCACAGGTGGTGGTTGGCTGACCCCTACTCTATCTAGCATGTTTACAGGGTGGACTTTTCATAAGAACTGCAGGAATACAATGTGGTCCCTGGTGAAGGGCCTGGGCCCCAGGGGTACTCATACACCTGGGTTCAAATCCTGGCAATGTCACTCACCAGTTTGATAATCTGTTAGAGCTGCTCACTTCCACTTGCTCCTCTGTGACATGGAAATACTGAGAGCCTCTCCTTTGTACGATCGTGTATGTTGTGATTGTGGTTGTGTCTTACCAGACTGCTGCCTTCTTGTCACTCTCCTTCTGCAGCCTTCTTCACAGCAGCCAGAATGATCCCATCAAAATGGAACCAGATCATCTCATTTCTCAGGATCCCCCAGTGCTCCCTGTCTGATTTAGGATTGGAGCCCTGACCCTACTGTGAACCCCTCTCCCAGGGTCCTGTTTGTTCTGCCAGCACTACCCTCACTCTCCGGGGTTAGGGCTTTTCAGTGGGTTTCCCTTCTTCCTGGACCTTCTCTCCTCATCCTGACAGAGTGGCTGGTTCGTTCTTACTGTTCAGATTTCAATGAGAACACTTCCCTGGCCTCACAGTGAAGTAGCCATTCAGTCAATTTGTTTTCCCTGTTTTAATTCTCTGACCTCTTGTCAATGGTCTGTTTCACCCGATGGAAAGTAAGCTAGCATGGCTCAGTTGGTTGGAGTGTCGTTCTCTACAACAAATGGTTGTGGGTTCGATCTTGGTCAGGACACGTACGGAAGACAACCAATCAGCGTTTCTCTCATTGATGTTTCTCTGTCTCTCCCTCTGTCTCTCCCCCTTTCTCTCTCTTTAAAATCAATAAAAAACATATACAGGGTGAGGATTTTTTTAAAAACAAAACAAAGCTGTAAGCTGCGTGATTCATAGCACCTCATCAACCTGATTCTTCACCACTCCTGCCCCGAGGACATGACCTTATAAAGCAGGCAGCCAGTAAATATTTGTGGAGTTAATATAGTAAGTTAACATACACAAAACACCTGACACAGTTCTGAGTTCTTGGTACGTGTAAGCTAAATCATTACTGACTACCATTAGGGTGTACATACCTCCCTTTAACAGTGAAATAAATTATGAGGCTTGAAAATGTGAAGAAATATCTGAAGGTCAAGTCCACTCACCCTAAGAAAATAAAAATCACATAAATTTGCAGCCAGCACTTGTTTATTTATACAGAATCCAGGGTAATAAAATGAATAATTAAAAGTCTACAGCCGAAACCGGTTTGGCTCAGTGGCAGAGCGTTGGTCTGCGGACTGAAAGGTCCCGGGTTCGATTCCGGTCAAGGGCATTTACCTTGGTTGTGGGCACATCCCCGGTAGGGGGTGTGCAGGAGGCAGAAAGTCTATGTTTCTCTCTCATCAACGTTTCTAGCTCTCTATCTCCCTTCCTCTCTGTAAAAAATCAATAAAATATATTTAAAAAAGTCTACAAATGAATTTGCATGTCTTCTTACTGGAGCTTTTAAGCTGGCAAGTTCACATTTTCCCTTTCTTCCCCACCCATCCAGAAACTACTCCACAGGACCAGAGAGAGAGGAGAAAAAGCATGGGCTTTCAGGACATCCCCGAACAATGGAGTAATTGAGCTCTCTTTTTGTTTTAGACGTCCACACAGAAGCTGTTCAGGCAGCGCTTGCGAAACACAAAGAAAGGAAGATGGCAGTGCCTATGCCTTCCAAACGCAGGTCCTTGGTTGTGCAGACCTCGATGGATGCCTACACACCTCCAGGTGAGCGGCAGTCCCACGGCTTAGAATGGCGAGCATGCCTTAGAATTAATTCACTGCCAGCCTTGCAATCACAGTCTTTCTAGCTTTCAAAATAATGGTGCTCTAATTCAGATTTTGTGACCACCAGGTCTAGAAACAGCATATATGTTCTAAATGAAATTTAGAGGGAAATTTACCATACTTTTGTGTGTATCTATATAAATATGTATTTTACACTTTTCATCAAGACTTATAAAAGTATGAAAAACTTAGTCTTATAAGATTTTATTTAATACTTGATATATCGATAGCAAAAGTGTCTAACTGAACATGCACTTTTCTTGTTTAGACAGGTATGTACATATTCTCAAGTCTTTAAAACATAAGTATGTTGTAATTTTGTATTAAGAAACCAAATGAATTGAAAAATTTAGGCTCTTGAATTTTTCTTGGCGGTCATCAAACTTTTCCTTAAACTGCAGACAGTATTTTGGTCTTTGTGGGCCCTCATGAATGGGTATGGTTGTATACCAATAAAACTTTATTTATAAAAATGAGTAGAGGGCCGGTTTGGTTCATAGTCTCCTGATCTATAGTTGAAGGTTATATCCCATTTACATTTATGATTTTAATACTGTTTTTACTTAGTCTTGAGTTTTATGTAACTACTTAAGTTCTGTGTTTCACTCTACTCAAATAATTACAGTCTATAGCTCATAAACTACAAAACCAAAATGAGTCACAGTTAAATCATCCAGGTTATCTATTATAAGCATGAAGAATTGAGCCTCATCTACTTGATGTTTGTTTTTCTGTGATTTTGGTTCTAGCATTATTCATGTCATTGTTGCCAAACCTAAGTTTCTTTTCTACACACCTAAGTTACCTTGCACACTACTTCATACAGTTTTGAATGCCACTATCTTTGTTCACAAGAGAAACTTAAAGTGCAATAAGAATAGCTGAACATATACAACATTTTTGGGGGGGTCTTTGAGGTTTAATCCTTCATTACCCAACCAGTGAGGGTAATGAAGCTCCCACTTTAACTCAGAGATGTGATCAAGTATCTTCAGTCATTCTCCAAACAGCTCTTAAGTATTCAACTTTGCATGCAGTTAAAGGTGAAAGTCTTGGGCTTTATAAGACAAAACATATAAATAATGTATTCCTTAGTCATTGTTTTAAAAATAGTCCAATAAATGTTCTTCATCTCAACAATACAGTATCCTTGGCAAAAATGTATAGGCCAATTTACTTACTTTCCTTTGTTTTTTTATGCTGAGCCTCAATGTAATTTGGGACTATTTATAAATCAGCATAATTAACATGTTCAATTCTGTTTATTTAGTTCATTATAATTTGCCAAAAATTTACAATGGAGTGGAAATGTTTAGTTTTATATGTTATTTGTACAACAAACAGAATGGGTTTACCAACAAAACAACTTAAAATATAATTTTTCTAGCTTAAAATATTTTTTTACCAAATGTTTGGAACTAGGCAGTATTCTGGGAAATGGACATATTTCTGAACTACTTTTTATGAGAAATATTGAGTTTAAAAATGCAAGAAGTTATGTGATTATTCATGTATGTGCTTTTCTTTGTGTTAAATGCATCTTCAGAAATGTTAGTGTCATACATGATGAAAGCCAGAACTTTCAGAAAACAAATCTTGTAGAAATGCCTTTGCAAAATATAAAGGACATTATCAGTCATGTTGTTTTGGGTGTAACATTCGTATTTAATTATTTGACTAGGATTTTCATGTACACCGTATAATATATTTTGTAAACTGTCATTCAGGAGTTCCAGTGATAATGTCACATGAAATAATTGTGTACAGTCATACATGCCTATTTATAACCATACTTGTTTGAACAGAATCTTGGCTCATTTTTCCTCTTTTTGGTAGCTGGTAACTGGTTAGAACTCATTTCATGACAACTGCTCTGAAAGGAATAGTCCTGAAGTTTATATTCTCTGCATGAAATGAGTGGTTGCTGACCAATGACATAGTGTCTGGAAAAGATCTTATTAGGATTATTACACTTTGTGGATCTCAAGCAGCATAGGCCTGAACTGAGAGCAGAGAAACCCATGAGGTGAGCCCCACGAGTCCCAGTTCTCTGCCTGGGGAAAATTTTTAGGCTGTGGCACAGAGATTGGAGCCTGAGCAATCTCTATGGCCATCTTGCTAAGTTGAGGAGAGCTGAGATCCAAGTTCATGGGATATCAAGGAGCTGAAGCTTTCCACAGATCCATCTTAGCAAAAAATAGCTCCATGTCTGTTCAAGGTCAAGAGAATAAACCAATAATCGAAGTAAATGCTAAAGTAAAAGTCAAGGCTTCAGAGTAAGGTAGAATTCAGAGTCTCCTCAACATACCACCCATAGTATCTAGTATTCAATAAATAATCAGTAGGTATGCAAAGAAATAGGAGGTGTAAGCTATGGTCATGGAAAAAGGAATCAATAGAAAACCAACATGAGATGGCTCAGTTTGCTCTCTGTAGCCACTAACCCACTGTCAAGAACACAGTATTGATGGTCTCAATTGTATTTGCTATAAGCATGAAATACAGATTTTGAAGAGTTTATATTGAAAATATGACTGGAATATATTTCATTAACTTCTATATTTATTACATGTTGAAACAATATTTTGAATCTTTTATGTTAAATATATATTTAAGTTAGTTGTATCTGTTCATGTATTTTAAAATGTGGCTGCTAGAAGTTTTAAAATTATGTCTGAGGCTCCCATTACATTTCTGTTGAAAAATACTTGGGTATTTTTGGTATAGAGGAAG